AAAAGGTCTAACCAACCGGGCGTGTTGCGTTTAATTGGATTTTATTGAGTTTCATTGAATGCCAGTTGGTTATGTTTAACTTTTCGAATCCTGATCTTGTAACGCCCTCGTCGCGCGAACTCGCAGCTTACAATCGCCAATTTTTCTTCCTTTTCTTATAATAACTTTCGTCCGATGTTTCCAAATTGAATACAATTTGTGCATTTCTCGTTGAAATGCACCCTAATCGATGTGCTTCACGTTTCTATTGTTTAATAGCTATCATCGCAATCTATGTACACTATTGAATATTGAACGAGAGATCCCTGGAGCTCGAAACGATCCCGTGATGTATAATAATATACGTTTTATGTGAAATAACAATGTTAATTACTCGCGAGTAATAAATTAATTGGGCTACGTCAGGACTGGATCATGATGGCGAAGTGGGGTAGAAAACGAAACTGAGTAAACGAATGATTTTTCTCTCTCGCTCCCTTTCTCGGCCTCACACACGTACGCAAGGCCGTAGTTCTTTTGCAAAAGTTACATACAAGAATATAAATGCAAACATTTCTCTACGTACAGGTATACAAGCACATGCATACTTTCTCTTAGCTGAATTACGTTGTGAATGCTAGTATATGTAGTGTTTATGTAGATATACGCAAACTGCAACGTTTAATTAATTTGAACTTCCTGCGTCGTTAACGTTAAATCGACGCCACTTATTAACCAGCCGTTCGTAGGTTCGTAGATTCGCTGGTACGTTGGTTCGTTGGTTCGTTGGTTCGTTGGTGGATTCGACCGAGCGACATTTAGAATCGTAGAGAAAGAGAGAGAAAAGAACACTCGGAAATTAATTTTCAAATCGATCTCTCGTGCGAAACGCGAACGATTGGCTGTACGTTCGACAAACTCCTACCAATTAAGAACGTTGCGCTTGCCTCGTTCGTCCCTAACAATTACATTGAATTATATTTAGCAACAACTATTAAATAACGTTACTCCGTAATTATCTTTCGCTTCTATCGCGAGAAATTTGGAGACTCTGAAAGCGTACGTATACTCTATGTATACATATACATATGTATATGTGATAGAGTGTACACAAGCGCACTGATACTGACACGGCGACCCATGCGATCTCTTGCACCGACTGACTAAGAGAGACGGATGATACGAATGTATATATAGATATATATATATATATATATATATATATCTCTTCCTCTCTTACATCGGTAACGGTTATACGTGTACGTTGGTGCATTCAATATCTATGTGTATACACGTCTATGTGTTTGCGTCTATATAGAATAAGAGGTCGAGAGAGTAAACTAGAGGGAGAGAGAGATAGAGAGAGAGAGAGAGAGAGAGAGAGAGAGAGACGATCTCTCGCCTCCGTAAGCGCTTCTGTCAACCATACGTCGGCTGCATTTGCAGTTGCAGCCGCATTGCTCGCGCGCTGCAGCGTCCCTCATGGCTGGAGTTGCAGGCCACGATTCGACTGTGTGTTCGTGGTGCATGCCGTTTGTCACCATTCAAGACGATGACGTCGAATGCCGCGCGAGTCTCACCGCACTGGCTCGATGCAAGGCTCCAATGCTTGAGAGAGAACTTCGAAGATAGAGTTGGCGATAGAGTTTCAGTTGAAATCTTGAAAGGTACCAAGAGATGTAGACAAACTTTACTTCCTTCTACTTCCTACCTCCTACTAAGTCCTACTACAATTTCTTTCATTTGCTCGCAGATTCTTTTAATATAATTTACCTCATATATTTACTATGACGAGGTTAAGAAACTTATCAATAATACATTTTATTTGAAATATTTATTTTAGTTTCCAAGTATGTTGTATTGAATAATTTACTCGTCATCAAGGATTCATCTTTAATTGAGATATTTTTATCCATGCTTATGAAATTCTTAAATCGACTAATTTTCTGACATTATGAAATAACAATGAGGATAACATATACATATACTTGATAGAATCAGATTGGGAAATCTTTGAAGAGCAATACGAAATTATCGACGACGTCCGCGATGACTTTTCTTCTTCTTTATTCGATTAAAAATAAATGAAAAATCGTTGAAGAAAATTCAAAAGTTCGTCACTCGATATTCGTTGCTGAAAGCTGAAAATTGTGAGATATTTTTTTAATTACCGAAACAATAAATCCATCGGCGAATCGATATAGAACGAACTCGTTAACGATTTGTTCTTTGACGTGACTACTTCATCGAGGACGACGAAGAAATTAATTTTAGATGAAAATTAGCAGCAGTCCGAGAAAAATCGATAAGTTTCAAGTTGGAAAGAAGGCGAATTTATCTTATTCTTTCAAAACGAAGTTATTCCAACTTGTAATTCACGTATACGTAGGAGGTGGCAAAATGGGGTGGATTAAAGAGAGAGAGAGAGAGAGAGAGAGAGAGAGAGAGAGAGAGAGAGAGGAGAGTGATATCAATTCGCGAATTCAACCAAGTTCACAAATTAACCCAACTTAGTTCCGAACCCATAGATTACATTATAAAGTTCGCAACGTTCTGCATACTATTTCTTAGTTCTCTTTGAAATTAATTTCATATTAGGAAGTGTTATATATCAAAGGAAATGAAATACGACATCAATTCGCATACGTCCAAATGAAATACATAGCGAAATATACAAGAGGAAACGCGTTCCTACTTTTGCATAAAGGTTTATAATATGAATGCTCAAATAAAATGAAAATAAAAAGAATACGAAAAGAATACAATTAATATGCTGTTTCTTTTGTATTCCGAAATAGACAAGAAAAGATGGATCGATTTCTCGGTAAGAAACGTTGAGGATGAAACGAGCGAAAGTTCCGATGGTCGTCGATTCTATCGGGGAAAGGGAAAAAAAAATTCAATATCTCGACGAGACAAAAAGGGGAAAGGGTAGTAGTGGACGTTACGTCGGAGAGGTTAATTTCCATAACGTTCGCAGAGCCGGCAGGTTGCCAACTGACCAATGTTGTCCGTTTGAAAAAAGGAATCGATACGCTTGATACAGAAATTTAAGCGAGCAAACAAAATTGTCCACGGGGACGAGAGCTCGTTAGGATTCTCGAATAATTTACTTGAAAAAAAGAAAATCAAATAGAGAGAGAGAGAGAGAGAGAGGGTGAGAGGGAGAGAGAGGGAGAGAGAGGGAGATGGTGAATGAGAAAGAGTTCAAGAGATAGATAAAAGAATGGTAGCAGCTGGGGTTTTGTCCCGCGGACATACTTGAAAGAGTGGCCGAGACAAAGGATATCGGTGATCCAATAGAGTCCTTCTGCTCACCAATCTGTACGATGTAACTGCATTGTGTCTCGTGAAATCAACAAGATTATCCTTTGACGGAACTGAGCCATCTGTGCGGCAGTGGTCGACAAAGTCCGATTCTGTATATAGTATCTTATGCCGATATCAAGTAGCTTTCGGATAAGATACTACGGATTTATAGTCGCGAGCGAACGTGATAGGATGAACATTAGCAAGATTACACGCGCGAGACCCGTCGGAATAACCTACTACCTGACAAAGTAACACCTGCCTACCACTTTCTAACAGCTACCCCATAAACAGATACATCCAAAATAAAAAGATCCTCGTCTATTTTTATTATTTCTTTATCGCTAATAAAATAGCCGTAGTAGTTGTGTAAAATGAACGAGACGTTTATATTCGTACCTTCTTAAATACGTAAATAAGGTTGTTTTATTAAATTCTTAGAATGAGAGAAAATTCGCCAACCGACCTATATAATTTCTTGGAAAAAACAGCTGTACGGCGCCTCGTAGTCGTAAAAAAAGTCTTTCTATTCTGGTGCACGTTCCAAGCACCTGCATAAAATTCTACAAGAGAAATATGTATGCTTAAAGGGTCATCGACAGTTACTCTCTTTCTTACGATATAATAACTTACAGTCTCAACTATTTTTACAAATTACAAATGTAACATAAAAAAGATATATAAAGTTCTTTCACAGTAGAAAAGAAAAATTACGAAGCAATAATAAAAATGAACATTTTCGAGTATCTAATCAATTGCATTCAGTTGAAGCCTTCAATCGACATGTTGTAACTTTACGGAAAATACTTATTAGACTACGACATGAAAGTTCTTTTATGACCTGTGTTCGTCTCTTCTTTTAAGAGACATCTTTCGAAAGAATGATCTTTAAAGTTACAGTTAAGAACGCTGTTTCAAGTAAGGAAATAAAAGATGTTCTGTCGTTAAATTTTCACGGATTACGAACGCACGTCTCCCTCTTTTCTCTTTCCTTCGAAAATATATGAGAATTATTAACGAGTGTATAGCGGAGATTGCAATTTCGTTACTTCCTCGTAATCTCGCCTAACCGACATTTCAAGCTTTATACGAGCGAGAATTACTGACCCACCAAAGGGATGGAACCCTACAATCGGGACAAATGATAGGTTTACGGTAACACTTTCGCGTGCTAAATTACGATTCGAGTTTCTAGTTTCCAGTACCTAAGAGAGAAGGCTTCCATGATACGTGTAAATTTAACTTTGGTATAACATAAGAACCCGATATTACATTCAAAACAAGTAGATAAGAAAATCTTAACAAATGCTAAGAAAGAAGAATTTCTTTGCGAATTCGATTACATTTCGAACAAATTCTTATTCGACTTAAATTCGTATCAACCAGTAAGCCACTTTCTATCGATAATCACATTTAAATCTAGTCTCACTGACCTCAAGGAGAATCTCCCTGCTGTTGGAGATAAGTAGATATATATCTGTCAGTGTGTAATAGCCTCAATAGGAAGGATCCTGTTACATGCGTCCATCACATGCAATAATACGTGAGATAACGAAAGATAAAAGATAACGAAAGTAAGGTTTATATAGCTGCACGTTTCACCGAATTGTAGTACAATTCACAGCATTGTTTCGAACGACAAATTATGACAAAGATAAATGATAAAGAAAATTTAGAAGGACGTTTCTTATCTTTAGAGTAATTATTATTACCTGTTTCAGGATGCACCACCGATTCTGTACTCCGGTGTGTCTCGTACAAGTAAACTCGATCGTCTTCTCTTGTTCGTTCTTGCGTACTACTAGCTCAACGTAGCACACTACACTGAAATCAGAATAAGAAGAGAGACTATGAAGATTACGAATACGGTGTCGTAACGAGAAAGAGCAGTAAAATATGTAATTATAAGTGAAGGAGCTCGTGGTACGCGATGCACCTAAAACACTTCTCCCTTTCCTTTTCCTTCCGTTCTCGAATACTTTAGATATAAAGGCAATCTCGTTGTCAACGGGGAGCTCGTATTACGCGTACTATGTTCTTCTATTCGTCGTCTACGTAAGCGCTGATGTAAGTTAATATAGTCGACGATTTTCTCTATGTTGATGTTGTATAGGGATCTAGGTGGGTTGCCATTGAACGTTTTAACGAGTTACGAACGCACCAATGAATGAGATCTATTGAGGACACAAAAAGTAAATGCAAGTCGAAACGATATAGTCGGAACGATATAGTCGGAACGACGTAGTCGCTCACTTAAAACTTTTCTAAGCCGACCTTTAAAATAACGAGTAGTCTCCCAATATAATATCTAACGTGTATAGTATCAACGCGTTTCTCTCTCCCTCTTATTTCCTATTTGGTAGTTTTGATGAAATCCTTTTATTTCGTTAAAATGTAACATCGTTCAAATGAAAAATAAATTTGTTGACATTTTGTAAGTGAGAAAGGATGGAATATACGGGTATGACCTATTTATCGGAAAAATAGCCCGTTTCGTCGACGCTTAAAAGATAATAAAACAGAATGGACAATGGCCAGTGGTAGTATGGTATCACACCATTTACGAACGAACGCGAGCGAGCGAGCCACGCGATTAAACTCAAACGCACCGTATAAACACACGCGACGCGACACGACGCGACGCGACGCGACGCGGCCAATCGCATTCGTACAGCAGCGGTATACATTGAAGTTATTACAGGAAGCAAGAATGATCGTCCCATCCTGTCTATATAACTATCCTCTAGGTACGGATAGTTAACCGTACAGTGGTTTCATTTTCGTTCCGACCGTTAGACTAACTTTTTCGATAAATATTTTCTATGCAATTAACTTTTCCAATACTATCGATATAATAATTTATGTCAAATCATAATCAAGTTGACTATAAAAGTTGATTATAAGAAACGCGCTTAGTGGTATTTAAAAAAATGTACGCAAGTCGATAGTTTCGTTAACGCTCATACCAAAATAAACGTTTACGCTCGGTTCGGCTACAATTTGCCGCTCTTTAGTCTGATCCAGTGTATAGAGATGGCAAGATAACGACACCTGCGCTCGCTATTCGTTGGCACATTGCCAAAGCGAATTGTTACGGCATCCCGGCAAAAGCTATGCTTTCGAGCACGCTACGAGTTTGCAACCGCGTGATCGAGTTGTCGTCAATTTGCCGACAAATTTCGCTTCTGCTTTCTCTACCTAGATATATATATAAACATCTATGTGCATGTATTATTCTATACACGCGTTTATATGAAATATATGAAAATATGTTTATACAAGTATTACATGTTTCAACTAACAAATGTTCTAAGGGAATATAGAAACAAATGTTGCAAATTCATTTGGAAGATAATTATTAATACATATCAAGGGGAAACTTTGACTTGGATTCACTATGACTTCGACTTTTCAAGCTGCTCCAAATTGAATAACCGTGAGAAAACGGCTTGCAATCGGTATAATAGGATTATCAACGGCAGGTCTTCGAAATGTTATTCGACTCGATTAGTTTGGGATTAGAGCTTATAATCCTGCGACGTCTCCAATGGCCTAACGAAAGGGAAGATCAGCACGTAACAGTCTTCGTAGATCAATCATGATATTTACATATATATATATATATGTGCAGTTGAATACATGCATAAGTCATTCCATAATTATAATGAATTTTTGTATGTAATCGTAAAGAAATTAGGGATAATAGCGATTAATCCAATTCACTTTTGTAACAATGTACATATCAAAGGCGTGTCCCATGAGAGACACGTTTAACGCGACCCTTAGAGGCTCGTTACCAGCACAGTACTACCGGTAGAGAATCGGTATTGGGAGCCCCCACCTTGGAATCCCCTACCACATTTAGCTATTGTACCGACTGTAATGCACGTTCCCTTTACTCCGTAGCATTCGCTAAGAGATAAGGATACTAGATGGGACATAGAGACAGAAACGCACGCCTAATCGCACATAGGAACAATGGACTCGCATCGTCATCACAGCGTGCGACTATTGCAGAAATTGCTGTGGCAAGCGGGGCCGATTGAAGATTCGATAACGATTCGGGGATGTGCGGAGAGGGTGAATGAGGGTGAATGAGGGTGAACGAACTATCCTTCCCTGCCTTCCTGACGTCTCAAGCATCGACGCGCGCTAATTAGGCGACTCGATGGTACTCCAGGACGAAAAGCGGCATTAACGAGTCTCATCGATTTACCACCAGCGACGTTCACTTTCTATTTCTCTCTCTCTCTCTCTCTCTCTCTCTCATCATTCAAGAGATTTTGGCTGGAACCCACTACCAATAATTCAATTTTCGATAATCAGAATGACTCGTAAAAATGAAAACTATCGTTCACGATTGAATCCGATTGGAAAATGAAGAAATAAAGTAACGAAAATGTGCGTAAAATTTCTTTGAGATATCGACGATTTGAAAAATGACATTGAAAAATATTGAAATGATCGTTTTATAACTCCTTTGGGTTATTATATCATGTAGAATATGCATGGGTGAATAATTATTTTCCACGTAGTCTTCGTTATTTTGTCGACGATTTTGAACGTCGAATAGAAAGCATACTCATACACTTTGCACCGAATCTCTTCTGGGGCAAGTTAGCCTTTTAGAAAGGGCAAACGACACCCCTGTTGGTAGTAATAATAATTGTCGCACGGCGAAAGGGGTGGTCGGCCTGCTCGACTGTTTGGATATCCAGCTTGCCGTTATTAATGGGGAACGAAACAATTTCGTAACGCAACCCGGCTTATTATAATCCTCGCTTTATATATATCTTCGCGCCATTTCATCCCCTTTGCCTCTCCTACGATAAACACGCACCCATTCGCATTGTGTCTCTTTTTCTGTCTCTCTTTCTATGATGTCCCTCTTATTTTATACGTCACGGATACAACTACTTGTACGATAACATTCACCCTTTAATACTAAGGATTATTACAGCTTGTTTGTCTTGAAAATCAATGGGTCATCTTCCTGGGAAAGCCAAGTTCCTTTTGTTATTTTTCCCTTGATATTTTTACAATACTTTTTCATATAGCTACACGTTACTATCGTATGTACTTCTTTCGAATCATTAATAAGGACAATATTTTCTTAATAAAACAAAGCGAAAGGTATTAGCCGAATAATAAAAAATACAAAAATATTGTTTCGATGATTTTCATTTATCGTATTGGAGAGAAAGAAGAGAAAGAGAGGAAAGCTCTTGATGCTTGCAACTTCGTTCAATGTACCAAAGCTAGGGGAGGAAAGGGAATCATTAATTATAGATATTAAAGGTTGCCGCGGGCGGATGCGTCTGTTTTCCATCTCTCTCTCTCTCTCTCTCTCTCTCTCTCTCTCTCGCTCTCGCTCTCGCTCTCGCCCTCTCTTTCCATGCTCACAGAAAATTAGTTCGGTCCAAATGACAGAGGTTCTTTTCCGAGTCAGCGAACTGATAAATGTGGCTTCCTAGTGCAGAAAGTACGCTCAAAAATGTATTCATCCCATTAATTTAATTAACTCTAGGTCTAACCTGATATCGACTTAAATTTTCTAACGGAAAATAAGTGGAAGTCGTCGATTCGTCGATAGGTTAGAAGAGTCACGTGCAATCTGCTTTTGATATTCACGTTGAAACTCTTCTCTACCACTATTACTTGTCATTCTATTCTTCTTCGATTACGTTGGCCGTTCGAGTAGATTAATCGATCAAACTATTCAAAAGATATTATTACCTTATCATCGACCTTGATTCTATTTAATAGAGAGTTATTTCATCGTCTTTTTGATTAAAAAGTAAGGAGAAATAATAATTACAATGGTTCATTTCTATAATACTTATGTGAGATATGATAAAATGGAGAATTTTGTTTGATTAACTAGCGAAGATGTCCGTAGTAGTTAGTTTAAAGAAGCTCCAGAACAATATAATCGATATCCTCGCCAAACTTCCTTCAGACTGTTTACGGAGTATACATAAAGGTCAGATTAGAATTGGAAAGTAGACCGGGTCGAAGAGAGTAGGAAGCCAATAGAAGGCAAGCCAAGGTGCCGGTTAGCTGAATCCGCGAAGAACTTGCTACAAGATTCGAGAACTCGGTTGAGGTTGCTTAGAAACTTGTAAGACGCAGACTCGATGAAAAACATTTGCTTCTTAATTTGGAAGCTTATTGGTAAGTGAATAAATACAAATTAAATAAGGAAAAATGATAAAAGATAAAGTGACTTTGGCTTAGCAGGGTGTTTAGCAAGGGCCTCGTTGGAAGCTACCATCATTGGTAGAAGCTGCGCTCGATTATACGGAAGGCCTCGAGGGAAAAGAGAAGAGATGGAGACCGATCTAAAGCTGTACATTTTCCAAACGTATCTCGAACACCCTGGTTCCAACATCGAATCCCACGGGATAAAACGAAGTCTCTGCTGCGGCCGGCACTACTCTCTCTCTCTCTCTCTCTCTCCCTGGGCCCTTGCTTTTCGAGCAACCGGTACACGTACGTGCGGCCAGCGGCAAGTGGTTCCTCCTGGTTGCGGGAAGAACAGCAGACCAGGCCGGTGGCGTCGACCTTTGTACCTTAGAAGCAACACATCCAAGTAACAGTAGAAGCACACCTTGGCAAGTCCTTTCGCGCGTAACGCTAGACACCCCTAACATCCACGAACAAACGCCCGGGGCTCGTTGCTTCCTGAATACTTTATTTGGCCGCCACTACCGTCGCCTTCCAACCACTCCTTCTTCTTCTTTTTCTTTTTCTTTTTCTACTTTCGTCTTACCACCTTGTGATCTTCCCTTATACACTTTTCTCTCTTTCTATTTCTCTTTCTC